TTGGCTGCACTGCTTCCAAGCAAAATCAAGACCAGGTGGGGTGGAGGCAGGAGAGCACATCTGAAGGCGATTTCTTCCACAGTGTTGCCATTTGCTCTGAACTCGGTAAGGGTTCCATGTTTCAGAACTCACTCCTCTCCATCAGATTTGGGCTTCATAGACATCCCCACTGTGATGACTTCACAGTTTCAAAGGGAGTTCGAACCCGGGACGGAGACCATGGGACCAGTAGATACTTCAGATCAGAAGGCAGGGGCAGCTTTTATTCTCCAAGAACCACAATGCCCTGGGATACAATGAGCAAAGCTTCAGAGAAAGCACTGCAAGGCTGGCCATGTAGCTCAGTTGTGCTGCACCTGCCTCACAAACACAAAGTCCTGAGTTCCACCCCAGAGCCATGATGCACACTTTCGGGACTGCGCCTGTCAAAGCCTTCTGAGCAGCAAGCTTCTGGGCCACCTTCCTCTTCATAACCGACGCCATTGGCCCTGGGAGACAGGCGTCACCACCAGCTGGTCGATGCCCGTCTTGGAGTTGTAGACCTTCTGCTTCACGAAGCCGGGGTCCGCCACGTAGTAGATGCCGTCAATGGTCAGCGAGGTCTCCGTGATGTTGGTGACAACCACGACCTTCCAGATGGCCGGCGGGGTCAGGTCAAAGATGCGGGTCTGCATCTCGCTGGGCAGGGCGGAGTACACGGGCAGGATGATCAGCTCGGGGACGTTGGGGCCCAGCAACTTCATCCTCTCATACAGGATCTCGCAGGCCATGTTGATCTCTTCCTGCCCGGTCAGGAAGACCAGGATGTCACCTTCTTCAGCAGCCTGAAGAGCACGTCGGTGTGGATCGTCCATTCGTGCACCTCATCCAGCATGATGATGGCATACTGTGTCAGGTCGGGGTCGATCAGGCACTCGCACAGCAGCATGCCATCCATCATGTACTTGATGACGGTCTCGGGGCTGGTACAGTCCTCGAAACGGATGGTGGAGCCCACCTCCTGCCCCAGGCAGCAGCCAAACTCCTCGGACACCCGCTTGGCCATGGACATGGCGGCCACGCGCCAGGGCTGGGTGCAGCCGATCTTGCCCCAGGATGTGTACCCAGCCTCGGCCAGGTACTGGGTGATCTGCGCGGTCTTCCCGGACCCGGTCTCGCCAATGGCGATGAGGATCTGGTTGTCGTGGATGGCCTGAAGGCGTAGGAGATCCGGTCACGCACAGCCG